CAGATAATGACTGGTTGAAACTCCACCAACAATAGTGCTGATTGCAGGTAAATGGTGAAATTTGAGTCTCACTTCCTATTCTTAGTCCTTTCGTTCAGTGAGAGGAGACTGCTTTAAAAACTGAAATGAAAAATAGTATCAGAAAGTGGAAAAGAGAACCACAATTGGAAAGTTCAGTTTGTCTACCAGCTAGATGTTCTGACAGAGGTTTTGAACTCTTTTTGTCTAGAATGTTTGCAAAATGTATTTTTCTCTATTCTTCATGAAAATTATGTGCACAAACATACAAATCAGTGTAAGGAATCTATTTTGTAGACCTTTTTAAACAAAATGTGAGTTACAGTTCGCACACAGCTAAAGCTCCCTTTTCCCTAGCACTGAGAAAGCACCATATTATGAACATTTCCCTTCATAAAAAAGTGTGTGTGTGTGTGTGTGTGTGTATGTGTGTTGGGAGAGACAACACCATGTAAGTGGCCCAAGTGTAAATATTTTAATCTACCGAAGGGAATTATTTGTTGACTGGAGTGTCAAGCATTTCTGTAAAGGTTTATAAGACAAACTACATTTATTCATGAAATAGCAATAACAATAGGTACATATATTTTAGATAAATTCCCCAGACTGTTGCTGCCCCCTTAGGGGATACTGTAATTCTAGAATCTGGAGCCCTTTAAGTGCATTACAGGGAGAACAATTTTTTTTTTTTTTGTCATCATACAGTTTATCTTTGACCCAATTTGTCCCAATTCATTCGCGAATAGGATACAGGTTTATGTCTTTAAGTGGCTTTGGTCCAAAAATGACTTTAAATACAAAGCAATCCAGAAAGCTGACCTGACTGGTCCAGCTCATCGGAAGGACTTCTCCAACTTACTTGCAAACTCTGCAAGCGCAGTTATTCTACACAAACAGGCAAAGTGAAGCCAAGCCACAGAGGTTGTATCTTCCAGAGGGTGAGGAGAAAGGCCACGGGGGTCAAGTTGCTCACATGCTACCCTGACCTAGCACACTGGATGAGTATACACGCAAAGGAACACAAAGTTTGAAACACCAGTCATGCAATGTCTCTAAGTTACAGAGAGAGGATCCTTCAGACAGAAAGACCACCTCCGAAGTATCCCACACCAACAATACCTGGTTGAGCATTCCAATAGTAGATGAAAATGTTTAAGACTTTTTGGTCTGAAAGGGTTTTAGTCCTGACTTCAAGGTAAGATTTAGCTCACAGTTTTTCACCTGCAGCAGCTACCTCAGCCTTGGGAGAGCTTGGTAGAGTCTGGAGACATTTTAAATACAGTCTGACAAATGCCACCTAGTCAACCTAGGAAGGCACAGAACATACTGTGTGCTAAGATATACAGCGGACTGAGCCCATCATGATGAGCCTCTGAGAACAGACTACCACACTTGAAAATCATGTTGCTTTAGGGAAGTTCAGTTAATAATGGAATATTTTATTAAAAAAATATGTGAAAGTCTATTATCAGCATAGACATAGTTAGAATTGGAGGCTTAAATTGGTGTCTGAGAAATGACCAGTGTGCTTAACAAAAGGTCTGTCCTTCATCTGGATAAGAGTTAAATAGGTGCCGTGTACATACTATGTGTTTGAGGACATAGGGGTCTTGGAGAAGTTTGGTTATAGTTTTTAGTATTTACACTTCACATTTATCATAACGATGTTGCAGTTTTCTGCCATGACCAAAGGCATCATCATCCCTCACTTGACAGATAAAAGTCTTAGCACTTAGTTACCGGGCAGCAAAGGGATAGTGACTTGAAGTGAACCTCAGCAGGAACTGTAAGAACCTACTGTCAAGTTCACCAAGGCAGTAGAAGCTGGGGAGGGGCAGGCAGGGCGGGGAGGGGCAGAGGGCCGCAGCAATGAGCTGATTGACTGTTCAGAAGCACTTGTTCTTAGGACCCCAAACATGGGATGCAGCACTTAAACTGCCACCTTAAGACATCAGAAATGTCATGCACCTTCTACATCCATTCACATTCCCCCAAACCAAATGCCCATCCACTCTGAGGATAGCTGTTTACGTGAAGAACTTGCCAGTGTAGTTTTTCAATGACATTAAGAATGGAAAGAAATGGACCAACACCAAAGCTCTTGGAAGCATTTGCTCAACAATCAGGGTTTGTCTCTAAAATAATTGCAGGGGTGAGGGTGATGAGAAGATGGGCAGCAGGGAAATTCGTTCTTGAAAAACTGATTGAATTGCATCAAATACAACAGAAGATGGGTGTTAAAAGTGTACACACTTACCCCAGCATGTACTTTTTGAAGGCATCTTGATGTTTAAAATACAAATTTAGTTAGGCCATTGGTAAAAAATGACTTGTGGCTATTTAGGCTGTGGTGGGAGTTGGAGAGAACGTAGCAGGTTAAGTGTGTGTGTGTTGGTGGCAAAAGGGCTAAGAAGCCTTGCAATTACCCTGCTACAACTTTTAATACGGTTTGATGACAACAGCGCCCCGTTAACCCTGCAGCGCTACCTCTTACAACAAAGATTTAATTTTAAAACTAAAATCGCTTTATGAAACGAGGAATAGAGAATATCCTCTCTTCCCACAAGCTTTATAGCAGAAACATAGGTGTGCATTTACCCAAGCTCTGTGACAATCCACTCTGGAAACTTCTCAGTGAAATTCACACCAGCGTGGGAGCTCTGGGACAGAGAATGAAGTAGGAAGGCTCCACTCACTTCCACAGAGGGTTGGAAAATAGAAAGTATCCAAAGTTCCTTGGCCAGGACACTTGGCCCTCATGCTTCCCTGACTGGGATTAAAGTAATTCAGCATAGGCATGCCTGACACCTACGTGTGATGTAGGCTCCTGACTTGGTCTTTTGGCTGTAGGGCCAATTAAGGTCATTAGCAATGACGTTTCCAGGGAAGGGGTTTACACAAAGGCACAACTCAGCTCTTGACCTGCCACTTTTCTCCCCCTGATTTTGCTTGCCCTTATACAATACTCCATAGAGGAAGGGGCTTGTAAGAGCCCTCTGACTTAGGGCTCTTAGATCTTAGGTCCTTGACATCTGCATGTGTGTATGGGACTCAGAGCACAGGGAAGTTTTCTTGGCCTTATTGCTTTATGCTAGATTACACAAGTTGAGTTTAACAGCTCTAGCCTTGGCCATGGCCACATTCTTAGGCAGTTACAGAAATATTGCATGCAATAGGCTTCTGTTGCAAACTAGTCTACTTTGCTTGCCATGCCCCTTTCTCTTGCCCTTCACTGTGAGTTCTGTGATTTTTTGAAGTTTGTTGGCCTATTAAAATCTACTAAAACATTCTTGCCTTGCAGGGTGCCAAAGTGGAAATTTATTACAAACGCATGGATCTTAAGCTTAAGGTGAGAAATGACCTGGGTTTTTTGAAAACATCCCACAGGTACTCTTCTGTAAGTTTCATCTTCTAACTTAGTAATAATGTATGTGACCTAGTTCCTTGACTTGGAGGTGGTTTTTATCCAATGACACGCTTAGCTATCAGTAACCTTGCTCAAAAGACTTGCACCCAAAACTTTCACAGGAACTGTGTCTAGTTATGGAAAGAGGAAAAAAAATCTTGACCATAACCACCACGAAAGGGCAACAGGAAAATCACCCTAATGAAACAGTCCATCTAAATCTGCCAGTCTGTGCCTGCCTCAAGTCCAGTATCGTGCACAGTTAAGGATGACATTTTCCTTCTGCGGTTCAATGACAACAGCTGGTGAGATTTGTTGGCTTGTTATTCTCAGACGGTCTTAGAAAATCTGGGAGAAAAAATACGTGTATTCAAATGGTTTTCTCCCCCTGCCCCCACTAAATTGCTTCTGGTGTCCTAAAGTGTTGGTTCAACTTATCTTAACTCTAAAGAGTATTTCTCTCAGTAACTTAAGCACCTGTAAAAGCTTACAGAATGGGGAGGGATATGCTTTACAATTGGGAACAATGGGATTGAAAAAGACTACAGATAAAAATTGTTTTTTCCTCAACCTTAGAGCCACTGGGATATTGTTTAAATCTATTGGGTAAAAAGTCAAGTGAAGTGTGAACAGAAGGCACTGGTTGCGGAGGCAAGTCTCTATCCCATGGGAAGAGGGGCTCTAACAAACTTCAAATTCATCTCTATTCCACGCCTGAGTGATGGTTGCAGAAAGTGGTGGGGATGGTGTGTATATAATTGGGGGGGGGGCAATTATTAAGGAATTAGGGGGAAGTCAATCCTTTGAGAAGTCTGCAGCCATTCCTACCCTTCTTGGTTTAAAGACTCATTACCTAATGCCTTCGGCCGATGCCTGTGCCCTCAAATATTCCGAATGTTGGCCCCGAGTTAGGGTCATTGTTTACGTACATAACTAAATTAAGAAGGTGGATTAAATCTCGTTCCAGTCTGGTAAATATGATCATTGAATATTTACCAGACTGGAACGAGATTTAATCTCTTAGAAAATTTGCAAGGGTTTCAAACACAGTATTTCTATTTCTTTATAGTCACTGGTCTCCTCAATTATTTAGTAAGATTGAAAACCAGACACATTTCCTGAACAGTAAACTGACCAGACCCATGATGGTCTCCTGAGATCTCCTCCTGCCCCCACACACAAGCAGTTCCTTGGTTATCATCCTTACAAAACGAATCACAAATTTGAACCCATGGCACAAAATTCAGGTGTAGTGAAATTACAGTCTGAGGTCCCAGCAGTAGCTTAATTTTGAGAAGAAATCTGAAACAAAAAGAGCCTACAAAGACAAGTAACAAATTACATGCAAATACCAGATGTTTATAGATGGATAGTCCTTACAAAGTTGAGATCACATATTTGCCACATTATTAACACAGGAAATCTCCCACAAATTGAATGTGTGTATGAGCCACTGACAAAGATTTCCCTCAAATAATTACTAGGCAGTAGAAATGAAGGTTAATCAACCATTTATAAATGCTGTTTGTTGGTGATGGGCCCCCTCAAACTGCCTGTGTGTGTGTGGAGGGGGACATTAACAGCCACAGTTGGGCTGTGGCGGAGGAGGGCTTTCCTTGAGTCTTGTGTTCTGCTTGGCGGCAGTGATGGCCGGATCTGTCTCCAAACTCTCAGACATTTTGTCGCAGATGATATCCACAAGACGCTCAAACGTCTGCTTGACGTTAATGTTATCCTTGGCACTTGTTTCAAAAAATTCAAACCCTGGAAGAAACAGAAACACAGCTTGGTCATTTTACACTCCGGCTGAAAGTAAATGGGACTTGATTGTGGTTTTCCCTGGTGATTGGGGGAGACCTAAGAGGTGGACCTAAGACGCAATTTGAACAAATGCTGTCATCTTGCTACCAATTCTTTTGTTTACGGTTATGTGGACATTTGATTTTTCCCTGTCAATTTATTTATGCTACCAGCATGGCTGAATGAACCACCAAATCTCTTCGCAAAAGTTTAGTAAGGGCGACATTAAGAATCCTCCTCACTGAGTATGTCTTTGTCCTCCCTTCCTCTAGCTCCTGGCCACCAGGAAGCTTCTTGGAATCTTTTCTAAGATGTGCGATTTGGCATATTTTCCTTATTCCATTTCACATTCGACCACTATTGTTCATGGACATGTTTTCATTAACCTGAGGCTTAGAAGACTTCATCTGTATATTCTGCTGCGAAAGGGACTACCGAAACCCCCTCCGACTCTTCCTGAGCCTGCCATGCTTCGGCCCCACCAAGGATGGAGGGTGGGCTTCTGGTAAAGTTTCAGTACCTAACTGGACGCAAGGTGGCACTACAGAGTCAGTGGAGTTAACCTTAAATGTGCTTCGACCTCTTTTTGGAGATTTTTCTGTCCTGTTAGGGGAACAGCCCTCCATGGCTTTGTCTACCACTGCATCTACCTATTGGTGCAGACTTTTCCTGCGCTTCTGTTCTCTATCAGTAGCAGTGTTTTTACTGACATCTGGAAAAGGACATCTGATATATTTCAAACAAGCTGCCAGAATTGTAAGAAGGTACAAAAAATGTGGTTGCAGTTGCACACTTCTCCCCATCACTGGACCTGGGCAGGAACAGGCTCCGACTGCTGTTCTGTACACAATCTTATCACTCTATTGTTTGCCTTCACATTCCATGGGCTCAGCTTGCCAGTTAGTTGCCATGACAACCTCCCCAGTCCATTCAGGGGACTTTGATTTAGGATGTACTGGGCAGGACACAAAAATGCTTTCCTAATCCATTCTGATTTTTACGCCCTATAAATCCTTCTGGTTACATCTGGCCCTATCTCAGAGGAGCCACATGGATTCAGAATGATTAAATCATGTGATTTCATCTCAGCTCCTGGGACCCAAGGAGAAAAAAATGGACTCATATTTTACATTCATGTCTAAACCTCTGATAACCCAGAAATACTTTGTTGTTCATGCTTCAGTATTTAGTAAAATAAGTATTTCTCTTGAGTTAAAATTTCTAATTTAGTTATGATAGATGACTAGTTAGAGGACTATATTTGAGCTTGAATCCCGTTAGCTATTGTGTATTCTATTGTTAAAACATAAGTGAATAATTGCGGGATTGGAGTTAAAGGAGCATGAGTGGGACCAGTTTCCGTAAAATTCCACGGGATAGTTCAGACCTTCTTTGGCTTGTAGTTTGCTTTCTAGTCTCTGTGGCGGGTGCTTATATAGCTCTTTAACATTCTGGATTTCTTAGCAGAAAACACGAATATAATTCTCTTTCCTAATGTTTTTACAGTCATTTGTCTTACAACAATTTGATCCAGATTTTGGAGAACTCAGGTATGGATCCAAACAATATCCTTATTGTGAAGATGTTAGAACTATTTGCATCTTACTGGGGATTTTCCCACTGCTACGTGCTGTCACAAGATACTAAGACCCCACTGAATTAGTTAAGATCCCTGAATAAGACTTATGAGAAAAAAACCATCCCATAATTCGGCACAAAGTTTTCGTGTACAGATTCAATTTTCTTTTTTTTTAATTTTTTTTAATTTTATTTATTTATTTCAGAGAGAGAGAGAATGAGAGATAGAAAGCACGAGAGGGAAGAGGGTCAGAGGGAGAAGCAGACTCCCCACCAAGCAGGGAGCCCGATGTGGGACTCGATCCCAGGACTCCAGGATCATGACCTGAGCCGAAGGCAGTCGGTTAACCAACTGAGCCACCCAGGCACCCCAGATTCAATTTTCTTATCTCTTCTGCTAACACTTAGTTTTCTTCCTAGTGCTACTTTGGGAAGGCACTGAACTTGAAGGTATCATAAAAGATTTGGCCATTGTGACAAGATGGTAATCTAGGTAAGTGTCTGTCAAATGGGATTCCTTAAATCTGGGCTTTCAGACACACCCTGCTGCTGGCGTACAACTTCAGGTCAGTAAAATGATCCTGAATGCTCTCAGGGACTTGACCAGGAAAATAACATGATATTATACCAGTTTTGGATAGAAGAGGGTGCCACAGTATGGTAAGCGAGAGAGATTTCCTGTCTTCTGCTTGGTAATCCAACTCTCCCACCATGTCGTGTTTTAATGACCCGTTATTTATGACTTGTGCTTTACTTCGTTTACAGAGCTGTCATGAGGCTCCAATGAGACAATGTAGGTAGGTACAGGTCCCCAGCAAACCAAACATCGCTATGATAATAGTAATAATAAACTCCTATTTGAATGGTTAGAACAGGTACTATTGAAAGCCCTTGATATAGTGTAACTCATTTTATCCACGAGGTGGATGCTAGTATTGAAAAAATTTATTGGTTAGGCAATGGAAGCACAAAATCATCGAGTACTTTACTCATTTATTTGCTCAGTCTGTAATGGTGAAGCTGGCTTTGAACTACTAACCTGGACATTCTCTTGCTCCTCCAGATACCTGCAGAAGTAAGCAATTACTTGGTTCCAGCTGAACTGTAAGTTCTATGCTAATTAATAACTCCACTATATATCATCAACTTTTATCATTGAAGTAATTAGAAAATAATAACTGAGAAAAACCTCTGGATGATTTCAAGGTACTCTTGAAAACAAGGCAGACCTTGTGCTGCCTAAGATGGATCAAGGGGGCCATGAGACCAGCTGTATTGGCAGACCACCTCATGAAAGTGAATTTTTTGGTTTTCCAGTCTATGGAAGTCTCAAAAAATGCACATAACTAAATTGAGAAATACTGTATGGCTTAAAATTGTTAACCATCTGAACTTTCAGTGAGTATCAATCTTTTTGCTGGGGGAGGGTCTTGCTTCAGTGTTGATGGATGCTGAGGGTTGGAGTGGCTGGCAATTTCTTAAGACAATGATGAAGTCTGCAGCATCGATGGACTCTTCCTTTCAGAGCACTTTTTTTTTCATAACTGGAGTCCATCCTCTCAAACCCTGTCACTGCTTTGTCAACCGGCTTGAAATGACAACAAAGGACTTATGATATAACAATCTTAACGAGGAGTAGATTTCACTTCAAACCAATTTCTTTGCTCATCCCTAAGAAGCAACTCCTCCTCCATTCAAGTTTGACCATGAGATTATATCTTCAGGCTCCACTTCTAATTCTCCATCGTTACCTCCTCCACTTAAGTCCTGAAGCCATCAAAGTCCTCCATGAGTGTAATCCACTTCTTCCAAACTCCTATTAATGTCAATACTCTCTCGATCTCTTCCCAGGAATCACCAATTTATGTAGTGGTATTGAAAATGCAGTATTCTTTTCAGAGTGTTGTCAATTCCTGTGCCCAGATCCTTTATGAAAGATAGAGCCTTACAATGTAGAAGGCTTGAAAGTAGCAATGACTCCTTGATGGTTCATTAGAAGGCTCGAAAACAACATTCATTTGGTGGCACATCTTCAGCAGAGCTCTTGGGTGACCAGGTACATTCTCAATAAGCTATACTGCTGTGAAAGGAAATTTTTTTTCTGAGCAGTAGGTCTCAACAGGGGGTTTAAAATACTCCCTAAACCATGTTGTAAGCAGCTCTGTCATCATTGAGGTGGTGGTGTTCCATTTCTAGAGCAGAGAGTGTATGTAGCAGAACTTTTAAAGCCCCTAGGACTTTTGGAATGGTAAATGAGCACTTTTCCGTTATGGAGATGGCTTTTTCCCTTAAAACCAGAAGCTAGCTGAGGTTGGTTCAAGAGGTTTGCTTCTGCAGCTCCACTCTCAGTTATGCTTTGGCTTAATAGAATATTGTGGCTGGTTTGATCTTCCATCCAGAGCACTCAAAGTTTTTCCCTGTCAGCGATAAGCTGTTAGAACTTTATCATTTGTGTGTTCACTGGGTGAACACTTTTAACTTCTGTCAAGACTTTTCCTGTGCATTCACAATTTGACTGTTTTGTGTAAGAAGCCTAGCTTTTGGCCGGAATAAGCATAGTAAAGAAGACCTATTGCATGACTTCAACCAAGCTAAGGCCCTAAAGGAGCTAGTTACACTAGTCACATCAAAGATCATGTTCACAGACAACCATACAAATACAAAGAAGTGATCAAATACCATTGGAAAAATGGTGCTCATAGACATGCTTGACACAGGGTTGCAATAAAACTACCTTGGCCTCCATCTCTACACTGAATTAGATATAAAAGTTTCTGGAAATGGTTATTTTAGCATCTAGTTGTTTGGATTCAGGGCAGATGAAAGTTTACAGTGCCATAAATGATCCTCTATCCAGTTGATTAATAATCAAATCTTTTTGAGGCCATTCACCCCCTATACCTATGTATGCTCATGGGTATGTAAAGCCCATGGCCTAAATCATAACAGATTCAAACACCTCACCCTTTACTCTTCTTTGCTGGATTTTTAGGGCCATTCGCTCCCAGTATTTTAACTTCAACCATAGCAACATGACCTTATTCTTAGAAATCTTGAACCTCTTATCTATATACACGGACATTAGGGAGAAGCCTGTGCTTCAATCAGGAACCAGAGTTTTTCTTACTAAACTTATAAGATCATTTCCAATTTACTAGGCAGGCCAGGTTCTGCAGTTTAAATAAGTAGGCCAAGGTTACACAGCAAGCTGACTGTGAAGGCTCACAGAAATCTCCTGATAACTAGGTTACTGATATAGCTTCCAGCCTTGGACACCTGTCCCTCAGACTTGATAAGCCAGTAGTCATAAGTAAATGTACACTTTGAGTTTCCCAGAGACACTCTGACTGTCATTTCTTTCTTCCCTCATCAGAACCTTTCTAATTTCTCTTGGGACACCTGAGCCTTACACTATACTCCAGTACAGCTCTGGTTCATGTCTCTTCATGCCTGATTCTGAATGATCATTCCTGCCCTTTCCAAAGGTTATTACAGGCACTGCTGGACTTCATGTGTGACTTCATGTTTCAGTTTCACTTGAGAGACTCAACAGAAACTGGGAAACATTTTATATGGAAAACGTGTTCAAGAAGGGAAGAAAGCCAAAATCAAACCTGTCCTCTTCATACTATGTACATTGCTAAATGGGCAGTAGAGAGCAGTGGTGCAAATCAGATTACACTCTAGTGCCCAAGAGTTGTAATCCTACATTGTAATGTTACAACATTGGATGGCTACCTGTATTAGCATTACCTGAAGGGCTTACACACGTCTAAACTCCACTACAGACTAAAATGGAATCACAAGCAGGGACGGAGCCTTAAATATGCATTTCAAGGCTCCTTGGGAGGTTCCTTATGCACATGAAGGGTTCAGATTCGGTATTCTCTGTACACCCATGTTCATAGCAGCATCAGTCACAAGGGCTATTTGCATTGCATTCCGTCTTGACTGATGAGTGGATTAACAAAATGTGGTATAGACATAATGAAATGGATTATTCAGGAATAAAAAGAAATTGATACATCCTTCAAATGGATGTTATCTCCATACTCCATGGAAGTTATATGATCTAACCAGTCACAAAGAGACAAATACTGTATGATTTCACTTGGGAAGTACATACAGTAGCCAATTTTGTAGATACAGAAAGATAACAGTTTCCATTTTGCAAAATGAAAGGAATTCTTGAGACTGGTCGCATAACAAAGTGAATGTACATGCTTATGGCTAAGATGGTAACCATTATGTGTATTTCTTTTACCCAAATTTAACAGATTTACACCTCAGGGAACAAGAAAAAGAAAAACTGAAGAACAATGTGAGCCAGAAATAGAGACTAAAAGCTATTTCTCTGAAGATATAAAACAAAACTGACATTTAGCTAGACTCAAGACAAAAAAATAGAGCAATTACTCGAAACATAAAAACCTAACAAACCAATTACTAGTAAGAAGAATGAATCCATAATCAAAACTTCCCAACAAAAGGCCCAAAAGCAGAGGCTTCACTTCACTTCAATGGTGAATTCTATCAAATTTTTAAAGAAGAATTAATATCAATCCTTTTTAAGCTCTTCAAAAAAAAAAAATCAAGATGAGAAAACACTTCCAAACTAACTTTGAGGACAGCATTACTTTGCAATCACAAGGACACCAGAAGAAAATTGTAGGCCAATATCCCTAATGAACCTAAATCCCAAACCCCTCAAGACAATATTAGCAAACCATTCAACAATGCATAAAAAGAGTCACACACCAAGATCTTTATACATACATACATACACCAAGTGCTTTATTCCAAGAAGGCAAGAATGGTTCACCATCTGTTAATGTGATGCACCACATGAACAAAAAGCATACGATCATTCTGTGAAGATGCCGAAGCAGCATTTGACAAAATTCAACATCCATTTATGATAAAAACTCTCAACAAGGTAGGTATTGAGGGAATGTACCTCAGCATCATAAAGGCCATATGTGACAAATCCACAAATAATGTCACACTCAACGGTGAAAAACTGAAAGTTTTGCCTCTAAAATCAGGAACAAAGATGTTTTCTCTCATCACAATATTGGAAGTCTTTGCCAGACGACTAAGGCAAGAAGAAGAAATAAAAGGCATCCAAAGAGGAAAGGAAAAAAAAAACTATTTGCAGAAGACATGATACCACACATACAAAATCTTAAAGACTCCACCAAAAAGCTCTTAGAACTAATCAATGAAGTCAGTAAAGTTGCATGATAATCTGTTGAGTTTTGATACACAAATAAGGAAATAGCAGAGCAATTCAGGAAACAAGGACAATGGAATCAGAATCAAATACCTAAGAATAAATTTAACCAAGGAGGTGAAAACTATAAAAACATTGTTTTCATCAGTAAATGAGAAGCTATTCTTGGAATAGCTGGAGTTCGTGGGGAGCGTGAGCAGCGTCCACAGCAGGGGGGCCATGCTCGCCGCCGTGGCCTGGGCCGTGGGCGAGTACCTGTCCGTGTCCTGGGACCGGCGGTGCACCGTGGAGCAGATCACCAGGTTCTTCGAGGCCCTGGAGGCCCTGCTGTTCGAGGTCACCCAGTCCCGCCCGTCTGCCGCCCTTCCCAAGTGCCCCCCACAGGTCATCGCCGTGCTCATGACCACGCTGACCAAGCTGGCCTCCCGGAGCCAAGACCTGATTCCCAGGGTCTCTCTGTTCCTGTCAAAGATGAGGACCCTGGCACAGAGCCCAGCGCTGAGCTCCGTGCACGGGGAGGAGGATGCGGGAGCCATCTGCACGCGGGCCACCGAGCTGCTGACCCTGCTAAAGATGCCCAGCGTGGCCCAGTTTGTGCTCACGCCGAGCGCGGAGGTGTCCGAGCCCCGCTATCACCGTGATGCCAACACGGCCCTGCCGCTGGCCCTACGCACAGTCAGCCGCCTGGTGGAAAAGGAGGCGGGCCTCCTGCCTGGGTGAAGGGACGGTGGCCGGGGCAACGCCGGCCGGCCGCAGATTAAGAGCCTGGTATTAGGGCCAAGCTGCGGCTGCTGTGACCAGAGGGCAAGTCAGAGGGTCGCAAGGCCCGGGGAGGAGGCCCGGGAGGGTCTGGGTCCCTCCGTGCTGAGGCAGGGCTGTCCCATCCTCGGCCTTCGGGTGTCTTGTCTGTCTGTCTGTCTCTGCTGTGCTGAGCTGTGTGGTGGAACAGATCTGATCTGGAGCGCTCGTGCTGTTGGGGGCTGGATGGGGGCTGCCTGGTCTGTTTCTGGTGCTCCTTGCTCGGGGGCGAGAAGAGGTACGGCAACAATAAACCTCTTTCAGAACGAAAAAAAAAAAAAAACTTTTTTTTTTTTTTTTAACTGGTGAAGTTTTTATTAAATCCACATAAGTAAAAACCGTATCGTGAGGGACTGGGGGATGGGGCCACCAAGTAGGAGCCAGGCCACCAGAGGGGGAGGTTGGGGGGGAGTGGGGGGGATTTGACAGGACAGAGACAGAGTCAGGCCGGGTTGGCCTGAGAGGCCACAGACTCAAGGGCCACCATCAGGACCACTGGATAGCTCCTGGGCACTCAGGCCAGCACCAGGCAGGCTCAGCAGCGGGGATTGGGAATTTAAGAATTCATATTCTTAAAATGTCCATACTTCTCAAAGCAATCTACAAATTCAATGCAATCTCTATCAAAATTCCAATGCCATTTTTAACAGAAAAGTAACAAAGAGTCCTAAAATTTACATGGAACTACAAAAGACCCTAAATACACAAAGCAATCTTGAGAGGAACAAAGTCTGAGGCATCATGCTGCCTGCTTTCAAACTGTATTACAAAGCTTTGGTCATCAAACACTATGGTACGGAAATAAAAACAGGCACATAGATCAGTGGAACAGGAGAGTTCAGAAACAAATACATGCATATATGATCCATTAATTGTATATTCTTGGCTCATTTGTCATCAGTGGGAAAGCACGGTCTCTTCAATAAATATAAATAAATAAATGAAATAAAAAAATTAAAAAAAAATTAGTGGTGCTGGGAAAATTGGCCTCCTGTGAAAGATTGCAACTGGCTCACTAACTTACACCATTTACAAAAATAAACTCAAAATGGATTAAAGACTTGACTGTAAGATCCAAAACCATAAAATTTCCAGAAGAAAACAAAGGTGATCAACTCCTTGATACCAGTCTTGGTGATTTTTTTTTTTTTAATCTGACTTCAAAAGCAAAAGCAACTAAAGCAAAAATAAACTAGTGGGACTATTTCAAACTAAAAAGCTTCTGCACAGTGAAGGAAATCATCAACAAAATTAACACCCTACTGCATGGGAGAAAATATGCCCAAACCATAAATTTGACAAGGGGTTAATATATAAAATGTATGAACAACTCCTACAACTCAATAGCAATAAAAGAAACAATCTGATTTAAAAATGGGCAGAGGAGCTGAATAGGCATTTTTCTGAAGACCTACAAATGGCAAACAGATTCATATGAAGGGGTTCAGCATCATTAGTCATTAGAAAAATGCAAACCAAAACCAGAATCATATCACTTTTCACTTCCCAGAATGGCTAATATCAAAAAGAAGTTTTGGTGAGGGAGTCCAGAAAAGGAAATGCTTATGCACCATTGGTGTAAATTGGTGCAGTCACTATGGAAAACAGTATGGAGGTTCCTCAAAAATTTAAAGATCCAAGCAGTTGTACTTCTGAGTATTTTCCAAGAAAAATGAAAACACTAATGGACCCCCATGTTTAGTGCAGCCTTATTTACAATAGCCAAGATATAGGAACAATCTAAGTGCCTATGAATAAATAAATGGAAAAGGAAAATGTGTGTGTGTGTGTGTATATATATATTTACATATATATATTGTGTATATATATATATTTACATATATATATATGTAAATATATATATATA